TCACAACAGTACAAAACTGGCTTCTGCTGTTGGACGGTGGGGCAGCTCCAGTCCCTACCTGAAGGTGTAGAGGGAGCCCATGTCCAGCATGGAGAGCAGCTCTGCTTTGGATTTGGGGAAGGTCAAGCGGTAGTGCAGGGTCTCGAACGCTGGCACGATGAGAGCTGCCTTCCTCTGGGGCAGCTCCAGCTGCTGGATGGAGTTCCTATGGTGGTAAGAAGGGTGTGAGGTCTCCTTGGCTGTGAGCCGTGGTCACAGCCCCCTTCCTCAGCCCACCCGCCACTCCAGAAGAGTATTAATGAGTTTGGACACTCTGTAGTGGTGCCATGCAGGGGCAGGAGGGACGGGGCACCCCTCACAGCCATGGCTGCTTCCTCATCCACTGGCATCTGACAAAAGCAAGGGCAGGATCCCAAGGTTGAACACAAAGGAAACAGTTTCTGCATGTTGAGGAGAGCTGCCCAGGGCATTTCCTGCAAACCCTGGTGCTTGGGGAGCATGGCAGGCTGGAGAAAGCCTTACCTGAGGTAATCATAGAGGCCATACATAGGCAGGAAGTCAATGTCCGTCAGAAAGACGTACGGTGTCTGTGTGTTGGCCAAGGCCACGTTGCGCAGGAGGTTGATGGGATAGAACTGCCCCTCCTTGTAGACGATGTGGTAGGCGACGTTGCGGCGGGCACTCAGCACCTCTGAGGCCTGGGCGTAGCGCAGGAACTGCTGGGCCTCTGCGTCTGACATGTACAGCGCCAGGCTGATGGGGCCTGCCCAGTGTTTGCAGATGGCCTCCAACATCTGTAACCTGCGATGCAGAAAGCACTGCGTGAGCCGGAACCCTGCTCCATGGCAGCTTGGCCAAACTCAGAACTGGGTGCCTGTCAGTAAGCCTCGAGTCACCCTCTGTGTTCGTAGCAGGGTAGGAAGAATTGCTGCTACCAGGTTAGGGTGTTGCTCCTCACTGCAAATCACTGGTGTGAGGATGAGGAACCCACGTTAGAAATCCCTGGTAGTTCCTGAGCTGGGGAGCCACCCAGAGGCAGTGGAGGGGGGAGATCTGACTTCCCACCAGCCCCACCAGCAAGTACCTGTCCATGGAGAGCTGGGCCACGAGGGTGACATCGGTGGGGTTGGGAAGGGCCAGGAACTCATACTGCAGGAAGAACAGGTGGACGCGGTGCTGCGTGAGGTGTTGCCGGCGGAAATCGTAGCAGGGATCATCCTCATCCAACTCCTCCAGCGCCTGCTGCAGCTGCAGTGCCGTAAAAGTGAGAGACAGCAGGAGCCCCAGGGTGGCTGCGTGGGGTGTCTGCCTGCCCCACGCTCTGGGGCCAGGGGCAGAGTTGCAATCGCCCTCACCTGGTTGCTGGGCGGGCTGGGGAGACTGGCACAGCCGAAGAGCTCCCTGCGCAGCAGGTTCCCGTCGTACTCCAGGAAGGTCAGGTAGAGGTTGCGGAAGAACTCCACGTGCTTGTTCTTCACCCGCAGCTTCTTGGGCGAGTTCCAGTGGATCACCTGAGGGCAGCGGTGTGTCACCCCGCGGAGGGGCAGTCAGCAGCACCCAGCACCCCCCAGGCGCCCAGATCCCATGCTGACTCCCCCGGACCTCCAGTGTATGCGCTGTCCCTCAGGCCCTCCCCAGTCTCAAAGGCAGCAAACCCACCCACCTTGAGATCTGAGACCTCGGTGTAGCACTGCTCTGAGCGGGTGTGATCAGAGAGCTGCACGTTCCAGAAGCAGGGGAGCCGGTACACCAGGGACGGGTCCTGCTTGATCACTGCGTTAAAGATGTCCTAGGAGTGAAGCGAGTGCACAGGTGGATGAGGAAGACAGCATGTCCTCCCTGTGCCACAGCGCTACAGGAACGCAGCAGGGTTGACCACCCTGGAGGAGGGACCATTTACCTGATCGGCCAGCGAGGTTGAGAGCATGCTCATGAGCTCTCGCTCCGCCGTCAGCCGCCACATCTGCTCCCAGCCCAGGCGACGCAGGCGGTCCAGCAGGAGCAGGATCACCCCTGGGTGCCGGGGAGGAGGGCACCGGGTCACCAAGGCAGCACCCAGCCATCACAGAGTTGGAGCACAGCAGCCTGCATGCCTTCAGCCCCTGGGACATGCCACTTCTCTGCGCCCACCAGCACGATCTCGGGACACTGGAGCAACCCCCTTGTGCCCACCAGACTCTCCTGCCTCACCTCAGCCTTCCCCAGCCTCCCCGTGCCAAGTGCCGCCTCAGCTGAATGCACCATCAGGCTGCAGGGCCCACCCCGGCAGCCCACGCTCACCTGTGTTGAAGCCACGTCCCAGGGCCGGCCATGGTTTGTGGTTTTTCCAGAGGTTGCCCAAATACCAGTCGCTTTGGTTCTCCACCAGCCCGATCACCTGCTTGTCTAAGGAAAGAGAGGGACGTGGATCCAGCCCGTCTTGCTGCAGGTTCAGAGGGCCCAAGCAAACCCACTGTGCTGGTGCTGTGGCACATGGGGACTGCCACCCCAAAGGGATGGTGGGCTCACAGTGCCCAGGGCCCTGCCAAGGGCCCCAGCGGGTCCTGGGGGCACCCTGTCCTCACCAGAAAACTTCCCAAAGACAGCCCAGAGCTCAGCGATGTCAGTGGCGAAGGTGATGTCGGTGTCCAAGACAATGACCTTGGAGAGGTTGGAGGGCAGCGCCTTGGTAAGTGTCAGCTTCATCAGCCCGTAGATGCCGGAATAGTGCTTGTTGGGGATCCACGACACCTCCGGCTGCAAGGCGACACGGCCTCAGGGCTGGGCATGGCCATGCCCTTCCCTTGCCCAGGCAGGACAGCTGTGTGTGCCCAGCACCCCATGCAGAGGAGGCCAGCAGAGGGGCACAACAGAGCTGTGGAGCCAGCCGAGCCTGCAGCATCTCCTCCAGCTGCACCACCAGCAGCCACACACCTCTCTCCCCAGGCCCTTCAGGCGCTCGCTGGCTGCATCTCCTTCTCCTTCCCTCTCACCTTGGCCTAGCTCTTCCTCCGGTCACCAGAACGCTCACCTGAACCCCAGCGTTTCAGTGCTCAGTGGGGGACCCAGCTCTGCCGCAGAGGCAGTGCTACCCTAAGAGGCCACCCCACCCCTCCAGCACCAGCCCTGTGCCCCCCTTCTCAGCTGGACCAGTAGCGAGTCCAGAAAGGGGAGCAGGTGAGCGAGGGACCAGCAGGAAAAGAGTTAATAAACACCCTCCCCCTCACCCCTCTCTGCTGCTCCCCTTGACACTCCAAGCACTGGGCTGGGATAGCAAAGCGGGGGCAAGTGCCTGCCTTCAAGTCATCGGCGTTGTAGAAGCTGACGTGGACGGAGGGCAACATCCCGTCTGGAGGATCTGGTGGGCCACTGAGTCCGTGATGAAGTGAAAGTGGAGGGGGTTTTTCCTGCCAAGGGCAAGTGCAGCAGCACTCAGCACCACAGCAGGAGAAAGAGAACATGGTCCCCAGCCCTCCCACAGCTGCCAGAGGACAGACACCAGCTGAGGGGGCAGGTGGAGACAAACCAGCTGCCTGGGGGAGCTGAATCCCCCTCTGGACCTCAGCCTCAGCAGTGGCACAGGGGGTAGAGAGAGGCCCTAGAGCCCCTCTCCCGCAGCACTGCCCCCCCTGCAGCAGCTCATCTGGGATCCCCAAACCAGTGGGCCTCTGGCACAGCACTTCCCTGTTACCTGTGGAAGAGGATGGATTTCACCAGGGTGACCACATCCCGGCTCGCGTTGTGCCCGGCACACACAATCGCAACGTGCAGGAGCTGCCCAGAGACAAATGGAGCCTTTTTTGAGACTGGACCCCCCCCACAGGACCCTGTCAGCTCCTCCCTGGAGCCATGCTATGGGGAGAGACTCCATAACCCAGCCCTTTCCCTCGGGAAGGAGGCCCAGAGATAGGCGGGGGTCCCTTGGCTCAGAAGTGGGGAC